CCTTGGTTTCTGTACTCTTGGTCTCCTCGTTCCTTGCTCCGTGTTCCCGCACCGTAGCAGATCGTGACAGAATACGGGACCCCAAAAAAGTAAGCGGCACCCCCTCTCCCCGTTTTGATTTCTGTTTTTTTAAAGTTTTTGTTTTGTTTTCTTTCCCGTGCGTTCCTCCACGTCCCCAAATGGAGGAACGATTCATGTTTATCGCGTTGGCTCAGGCGAGCCCAGACCAGATTTTTTTTCACCATGTTTCCAAATCCTCTACCCCAGGTCCAAAAGAAATGTAAAGAATGTACAAACTGAAAACATTAAATACTTTTGTGATCTATTTCCATTTGTTATTTTCATAAGAGAAATACTGTCATGGATGTCATAAATTCCAGTAGGAGAGATGGACTTTTCTTTGTCTATTGTTTAGTATTATTTTGTGCTGTATTGTTGGTTACTGTGTTATTTCTGTTTCAAAAGGCCAGCAAAAAAAATAACGCTTTAATATCCAAAGAGTGTTCATGTGATTTTATACATTAGTAATGTTGTGAAATGAATAAATGCATAAATCGCCATAATCGTAAAACCGTGATTATTCCTCAGACAATAATTGTACCAACAAAATCTATAATCGTTGCATCCCTACTTTGAAGACGATTAGACATAAAATATATAGTTCAGTCATGAAACTCTAGATGGCGCAGGCTGATGGGTTGTTAACGTAACTGATTATATGTAGAGAGTTGAACGACTTGGCACAAGCTGATTGGCTCATGCTGCATATGCAGCCAATGAGCTTACTGCCTTGCATTTATATGGCTGGCTAGCATTCACTAGACTGATGGGTTGTTAACGTAACTGATTATATGTAGAGAGTTGAACGACTTGGCACAAGCTGATTGGCTCATGCTGCATATGCAGCCAATGAGCTTACTGCCTTGCATTTATATGGCTGGCTAGAATTCACATGAGATTCCTGCAGCGCGCTTTCAGAGTTTCTCTGAAACCCTCCACCTTCCCCAGCTCCACCTGTATAGACCCGCTTCGAGTTATTTTATATGCTATTTGTGCAGCAGCAGTATGTCTTAAATACTCACGGCACCGTATCGCCATATGCATTGGCAGTAGCAAGTTCCTGTACTTGCTTGCAGCAGCAGCAATGATCTACAACTACAGCAATAACCAACAGCAGCAGCGTAGCAGATCTATTCCGCCAAGACCAAATACATTAACATTGTCATATCCATCATCATGCTAAAATCTTCAGAGAGTTGTCATGATTGAAATTACAAATTCATGGAATGAGGCTAGGTCTCACTCCAAGATCCAGGAGGCACTTCACTGCTACTGTATGGTCTACAGTGTCAAAATCCTTGGCAAAATCAGTCTATTGCTAATTAGCGGCTTTATTCTTTATTTCTTGGAGCAGTGTTTACTTAATTGATATTTCAATGTCTTATGAATATTAAGTAATATTTTAAATGTAATAATATTTAAATTTAAATATAATGTTTATATCCAAGTCATAACAATTTGATAGCAATGGTTTGAATCACTACACATACATATTGCTGCACGTCTATGCAGTAATTGCCAAGAAGCTAAAATAGATGGCCTTTTTTTCTTATTTAGACTTTGTTATTGAATGACTGTCCTAAATATGTCCATGTTTGCTTAACTGATAATTGAATATTATACATATTAATGAATATGCGTATACATTTTTAACTCTTTAAGTAGTTTTTCAGTAGCAGATTAGTTTGTTCTTTGATATTGTAATTGGAGATCTTTCAGCAGTTTGGTATCGACAGCCTCAGTCTCGCGTTGAGCATCTGTTGTCTTGGAGCTCTTGACAGGAGAGTTCAGGTTGGAGGCAAGCAGAGCAGATGACAGTACTTGAAAGGTGATTGCGTGTTGCGGTTTAAAGTGTGTATGTGATATGACGAGTGTGTGTTTGTGCGTATGAACCCAAGACAGGTTGCAGCTGACAGCTAAAAACAAAACAGGTCACCTCTCACGGGGAAACGAATCCTCCGTGGAGACACTTCAGGCCTGCAGTGCGAAAAGCCTTGTAATGAATTCATTCAAAATGTTTATAGCCAAACATCTGAAGCCATAAACTAGATCTCATTTCAGCCCGAGACAAACCGTTTTTGTCGGGGCTAACTTTCTTATGTGCTACAATGAAAATACATCTTAGAGATCTAATTACTTTAAGAAATAACCTTTATTAATTCATCTCTAGTGCATTTGCCACCTTTCTCTTATATTGTACCGTTTTAAAGTGGCAAAAGGCCACACGAATAACTGGCTGAAAATGTCATAGTGTCCTTGTAGATTTTCTTTATGATCACAGTCGAGTCGCCATCTAACGCTGATGAATTGCTTTAGTAAATGCTAAAACCTGTGTGTGTTTTCACCATATGTCTCCAAAAAGTGTCCAACAGTATGATGTTATCATATACAGAATGTGCAGCAAATGCATTGATAGAATGCTACATCATGATTACATCTTGTTTAGTCTGTCTAAAGTTGGTCTGTTTGCACTTTGCAGTGCATTTTGGTCAAGATGCACATAAAAGCAACCTTTACATGGTTTTTCTACAAGGATTTGATGCTGCTATGGATAACTGTTTCTTAGTGACTTGTGAAATATTAATTGTTTCAGTCCTTTGAGTTCTAACCAATTTGTTTCAGGTCGTACTTGTGCACAGACTCAATATGCACTGTAAAAACCAATAGGTCTCAGTCCTGTTGAGTTTTAGCTCTTCATACTTTAGTCTAGAAACTTAATCAGTCTAGAAATCAACAAAGTTCCAACATTTTGACTTAAAGTATGATGTTATCGTACATGTGCAGCAAATGCATTGATAAAATGTGACGTTTTTCCATGATTCCGTCTTGTTTAGTCTGTCTAAATTTGGTCTGTTTGTACTTTGCAGTGTATTTTGGTCACAAAGTTCCACATAAAGCAACATTTACGTTGTTTTTCTTCACTCAAAGAGTTGATGCTACTAATATGGATAACTTTGTTTTAATAACTAGTTATTCCTCGAAAATTTTAATTGTTTCATTCCTGTGAGTTCTAACCCATTTGTTTCCAGCCGTACTTGTGCACTGACTCAAATTATTCACTGTAAAAACCAAAATGTCTCAGTCCCGTTGAGTTTTCTAGCTCTTCATACTTTAGTCTAGAAACTAAATCAGCCTGCCCTGGAAATCAAAAAGTTCCAACATTCTTGCTTAGTGTTTTTGACTTGTTTTACAGTACAAATCTCTAATTAAGTCAAGATACATTTACTTTTGTTTATGCAAATTGTGTAAAAATAAATAAATAAATAAATAAAACTTGATTCACATGGTAAACAACATTATTTTTCCAACACTACCGGCAGAAAACAAGACTTTAAATCTTGTCATTTTGCTTCTCAAGTAAATGCATTTTAATTCAAAGGATGTTTAGATATTTTACTGAAAAGCAAGACAAAGATACTTGTTTAGAAAGTCATTTCTTGCAGTCTAGTAGCTAGTTATTCCTCAAAAGTGTTCATTATTTCGGAGCTTTGAGTTCAAACCAATTTGTTTCCAGCCGTCCAGACTTAATATTTACTGTAAAAAACAAAAAGTCTCAGTCCTGTTGAGTTTTAGCACTTCATACTTGAGTCTAGAAACGAAATCAGTCTGGAAATCAAAAAAGGTCCTATATTTTGCCTCAACAGCGGTCATCTAAATGAACAAAACCCCATCAACACGTCCATTCTTTCTTGTTTTTATAGATCCCGGGGTCTCGGCTAATGGCTGCGCTCGTGAAGTCCGTGGCACCTTTGTATGTACGATCGAATGGCTCTAAAAGGCTAAATATATGTCCTGTTGATTCACTGAAAGGCAAGAGACCCCCTTGATCTGGTGCTGTTTGTCTGTCAGGGCATGTTGAAGCACAGAAATGATGTCCTTGGATTGATTTGAGAGATGGAGTGAAAATATGTACGGCGCAATCGAATTGATCTTTATAACAGGGTTTCAGAAAGTGGTGACTGCTGTCATTAGCTGAAAATGGATCCTGTGGCGTGCGGAGGTTTGCGACTTTGGCAGGTTGTCATTTGTGTGTATTTTGCAGGGCTTATTTTCATATTCGTTTTTTGCTGTCATTTCCCGTTAAAATGCAGGAGTAAATAGAAACGGGGTTGAAAGCTCTTGCGGTTGCATGAGGCATTGCATTAAAAAAAACAAAAACAAACCCCAAATTGTAGGAAATGGAATAAAAATGTCACTTTCAAAACGGCGAACTGAATCAAATGATCTCACCGCACACCACCGACTGTCATCCGTAGCTTTTATTGGCTGCCGTCTCTGAAAAGCAAGTGGTAAACACTCCATCAGAGGACGTGCACAATGAGAGGAGAGAAACATGATTAACAAATATCTCTCGCAACGCTCGCTGCTGCAAAGAGAGATTACGTCTCATAAGCCCTTCAATCATTCCCTAGAAAAACAGAATATTTGTTTTTCTCATCGGCTGATTTTACCACTGTGTGCAAGACGGAAAGATCTAAAATGCTTGTAATATTAGTGGCAGCGAGCTCTCTGAGGAAACATTTAATCACTCAGAGGCTGTTCTTTCATAACTCGGTAGATGTAATGTAGTTCTCTGTGATGTTTCGTTTAAATATCAATTTTGTTTGTTATTTTTCTCTCTTAAAATTCCTTAGGAAGCAATAATGAGCTTTTGCATATTAATTTAGATCGTTGTCATAACCAGCTACATGCAACAAACATCAGGACGTTTGGTTAGTCACTTCATTTCTAATTCTGATCCAGTTCACCTCATCACTGCTGAATTTATTAACATCCAAAATTATACAATTATAAACCTTGATGTTGTTTTCTCATATTTTTGTGTAGTTTTGTTCATATTTTTTGAGGATGTAAGCATTCACACAACTCTAATTTGGCTATTTATGTCAAAATGTCTTTGTCTGTTGAATAACAATAACCAGCATAAAGTGATTTGCTGGTCTTAGCTGATTTACGACAGTCTCCTCCCAAAACTCAAATCAGACCAGCTAAAAAATAATAAATACCTTGAAAAAGTAAACATTAACCAAAAATAAATAAGCAAACAAACTTATTTAATTTCAGCTGGTTGCCAAAGCAGCATTTTTTATTT